ACCTTTCGGTTACTGGCACAATGCTCTTAACCACTAAGCTACCTGCCACCCCTTATCAGTGTTATGTTATGTAGTGGCTTTGCTTTGCTGGCATGCATTAAAAAAAATTTGGGGGGAGTTTGCCCCACCAACATTTACATGCAAAAATCGCCACTGGTCATAATACCCATAACATCTAGCGGTTAAACAAGGAAATGGTTCCAATAGTTTTTCCACCATTCATTTTTCCCATAGGGGATTTTAGAAACACTTAAAATAAGGGCTGTTTTTTGTGTAGGCTTACCCTGGCGTGACATTTTGATAACCATGTAAATCTCTCTAGGACAAGGTGACTTTTATCAATATATTCACCTGTAGCTCAGTTGGTAGAGCATGGCGCTTGCAACGCCAGGGTTGTGGGTTTGTTTCCCACAGGGGGCCAGTATGAAAATGTATGCACTCACTAACTGTAAGTCGCACTGTATAAGAGCGTCTGCTAAATGACTAAAATATAAATGTTTTTACCCCCCCCCAAAATGACATGCTAATGTGGCTATCATAAAGAACTACACATGACCTGGACAAGACTGCTGAATCGAGGTAAAAGTAAGAATTTCTGGATTAACTATCTTAACTAAATGTAGTAATTAATAAATTGGCTACATTTCTTTAAATTGACAATTCTGTGAACTGTCTTGTGCAAGTTTAAAATTGACACAATACCTGTTAGCAAGCATGTCAGCTAGAGATGACATGCAGGAGCTTGCAGGGATTTGTAGTCTTGCATGATGTCTATTGTTGGGTTCTATTTTTCTCATAATTGGATCTGTATGTGATGAATAACCTAGAAGGAATGCATTAATGAGGAGCATAGGTTTGTACTATACTGATATAAATTGTTTCACATAACAGGCTGTGATTCATGTAAGGAACGTTAGGGGTAGGACAGATAAGACTTGTATTTCTTACAGATACGAACACTCTCTCTTTGTTGTCTGTGAAACCGTCCTTGAACGTGGGTACATGGAGTACAGATTGGAGGGGTGTCTTTTGGGTGCTGACTCCACAGGTTATTATGATAGCAACTTATGCCTGGGAACGGTGGAGCGCCAAGGGGTAAGCGCAGAGGGGTTGGGACCAACCCGTGCGCCAACGGATTGGCTGAGTAAAGTCTAAACCAATACTCAGTCCTTTACTCTGATTGGCCAACAGAAGAGGTGGGAACTCTCAGTCAGAGTATTTGAGAAAGTACCTGTAAACAATGGTTTAGTTCTCTGAGTGCCCTGCGAGGTATTTCAGTGGACCCGTATATACGAACCTTCATACTTATCATACATACATTTTGCATATAATAAATTTAGCTTGGATTGAAGATCTCTTGATTCTTATTCCAATACCAGATTTGAATTACGCAATTTCTAACAGAATTTTGATGCTAATTCACATTTTCGAATCTGAGAGTAAATAGAGATTAATATATTGATAAAAGTAACGTTGTCCGAGAGAGATTTACATGGTTATCAAAACGTCACGCCAGGGCAAGTCTACACTCATTGACATCACCAGACCCGGGATTTCGGGGTTTTAGACCCGAATGATTTAGTCTCAGCCCGAGTCTTTTGCCCTGCTGGGATTGTGTAAAACAAGCTAGGCTATACTGCATTACACAGTGCAATGAATACTCCATCACCTAATTTACATAATTTGTCATGTGCATGTAATTGTGATGGACGCTGTAGGAGAGAGGAATAACGTTGTGGGAGAGACAAAAAGTGAGTAAAAAGCTGCGCGAGGACTGGGCCGCCTGTGAGTGCTTTGGGACGGGGGTCGGGCCCACCGCAGCACCCGCTGCTCGTTGAGAAGAGTAAGAACGATACGTGCTTTCACGTCAGTCTCCAATAACACCAGAAAAAGTCGCTAGATTTGTCGCTAGTCGCTTTTTTGAAAATGTGTCGCTAGAGGGGTCTGAATACTCGCTAAATATAGCGACAAAGTCGCTAAATTGGCAACAATAGACACTGCCATGTGGGGACTCATAAGTGTCTTATTTCAGCATGCTATTGATAAAATGTCTTGTTTTGACTGATTTCATGTCAATGCAAATATGGCTCAAATTCGCTAGCTAGCTAACCAACAACTAACTATGTATTTGAAACAACAAATGGTCATTGTGCAAATGTATTTGTTTTCAATAAACATTGGAGACGAAATATAGCTTACATGTTAACAATCTAAACCAACCTCAACTGTTTTGACCCATGGTTGCACGCATTTCGATGTTGTTGCTAAAGCGACAGAGAACACCGGTGTTGTGGATAGTAATGTTAATCAGGTTTAAGATTGAGTGAACTGCTAATATCATTAAGGAACAGAAATGATCCCAGATTTGACCTTTAGCTCAATTCAGGTAAACATTATTTGCCTGTTGTTCATATTGTGTGTGTGTGTGTGTGTGTGTGCGTATATTGCTTCTGTGTGTGTTTGTCTGTTCAGAATACTCCATGTTGCTACTGCACTGATACTATGCGGGTCTCTGTAATAATATAGGAGATCCCGGAAACCAGAACTTCAGATAGCAAGAAAGAGAGGGGAGCAGACAGGACAGAGCAAGAACACAGAGAGAGGGGAAGCCCACACAAGACAAACATGGAATATTCCTCTCAAGCCAGAGGAAGTAGTCCTTGCTAAATATTACCTCTCAAAAAAAGAAAGATGCCACTTCTGGCCTGTGTGTATAAATTGTTAGACCCTGATATGTTCCCATCACTGAAGCACAGGCCGCACTGACCATCCCAGTTAGCAGCTGTGAGAGATCTTTCAGTGCATGAAGACATCTACATACCTGGCTTAGGAGCCTATTGACCCAAGATAGAATGCATCATGACAATTGACAAAGATATACATACTAACACGCTTGGGAAAGAGTGAAGTCATAGACCGGTTTGCACCTACAGTTTCATTTTGTTTAATTTCTAATCTTTATGGATGGACTAACATCCTAGTACTGTGTAATATAACTCGCAAACATTGTGAATATTTAGTTGGAGAAAGGATTGTATGCTGGTATGTGAAGTGTTGTTACTACAGGGGTGTTGGAGGGGGTGTATTTGTTTTTGTGTAATTAATTAGGTATAAATATTGTCCTGTAGCTAATTGACCTTGGAATCTGTGATTTATTACCACAAATATTATAAAATCATGATTTTCAAGCATGTTTGGTGCCTGCGTTTGTACATATTATCTGCAAAAGTTGTGTGTGTGTGTCCCCCCCACTCTACAGTTATAATACAAGCCTACTGCTGATGTGAGTTTATTAAATTCCAACATAATCCAAAGGATGGCAGCCTAAAATCCCAATACTGCTATATTGCACGTAACTAGAACATTTTTTCATGCAAAACATTAATTTGTGGTTTAGGCTGCCACCATTTGGATTATTTTGGAACTGCACTGTGCGCGCAGCATGACCAGCTCACATTAGTTAGCCATAATGTGACCAACATCAACATAAGGCTTTCTTTTGGCAATCAAATATTGGACATGGTTTATGAAAACATTGCAACAAAATGATTTAATACTTTTTCCAACAAATGTTCTTCATGGAAAATCAGGATATAGTTATGCACTTGTAATTTATATTTGCTAATAGATTTATTTTAATTTTATTATTGACACCATATTCCATGGGTTTACTGACCACAATCCATTTAATTAATATTAAGAAGTGTTGATTATTTGGCATCAGGGGAGCACAGCGCATGGAAGAAAGCAGTGAGATATGCAACATAGCATTATGTTTCTGCAAAATGTTGACTGCTAGCATGGGCGCTTCATTTCGGTCACGCAGGGATCACCCCCGGATGTTCTGAATGTCTAGTGACTTCCCTGGCCTACACAAAACACAGCCCTTACATTTAAGTGTTTCTAAAATCCCCTATGGGAAAAATGAATGGTGGAAAAACTATTGGAACCATTTCCCTGTTTGAACGCTAGGTTTTATGGGTATTATGACACCTCCACTGTGGGGCTCTATTGTGTCACACCCTCCAGAAATGTATTGCCAGATCAATAATACATTGGCTTTTAGTCCATGTGTATTAAAAATTGTCAAATTAGTTGATCAAGCCATCCAAACCCACCTGTTTTAATTTATTAGTATATGAATGAAATATCAAAATAGTCTGATAATGAGTTTTTTTGTTTTTTGTTGCCAAGATGCACCCACTGTCCAAATAAATGGTGTAGGTTTTTTTGTTCTGTACTTCCTGTCGATTGACAAGCGACAACGACCTTGACATTCTGACGGGGCGTGCTGACGCGGAGGCGTGTCCAAGGACTCTTGGAAGATAAATTACGAGCGCACCTTTGCTCGTCCCGGCTTCCCCTTGCGAACAAGTGGACAGACAGAGGCTATACAAGAACGGTACTTGACAACTTTATTTGTTGGTATTTTATGCCTTCAAAGCTAACTTTGATTGACATTTTCGAGGATGTGTTAATTGTATGGGATTTAGGCCTAGGCTTAACCTGGCGTTTTGAATTGCTTTCTTTTATGATTTTGCGCTTCGTGTTTTTAAATGTTTTCTCTGGCATGCAGCTTGTCTATACAGTTTCTGTCAACGTTTTCCAAGACTGTTTGGTCAACTGTGTACATTTAATAAATTACTGATAGCCATGATAGAGACAACCTAGTCTGTGACAGCTATTTTAATATTTTATAATTACTGTTAATCAGGTGACTGACGTACATCAGTGTTTCCCAAACTCATTCCTGGGGACCCCAAGTAGTATGCGTTTTATTTATTTTTTGCCCTAGCACTACATAGCTGATCCAAATAGTCTAATCAAAACTTAATGAGTTGATCATTTGAATCAGCTGTGTACCGCAAGAGCGAAAACCAAAACGGTTTTGGAAAACGCTGACATGGATGCTAATTCTAATTTTGCGTTATGCTCATACTAAGTTGTGATACAAAGTTAATTACTTTTTACTTTCAGAGGACTAGACCATATCAGGCAAAATGGTGAAGATTGGGATCAATGGGTAAGTTGCTTTTGTTTAGCTTAAAGAAAAGTATATACAGTCTTTAATGTATCGTAACACTGGCTGAATTGGGGTTTTGTATAAATGCTAGAGAACCAAGTTGAAAAGGTCAAGAAACCTTGGCTTGCATTGCACAAATACCTTGATACAGTTTGTGTACTTTGGAACCAAGATGGTGGACAGTTCATGCCATACTGTAGCTACTACTTCACATGCCTGGTCTGGACCCTTCCCCTGTCCATTCTCTGCTTATTTATAGTTTGGGTGTCACACCGCCTCTGCAACACTCCTGTAGCTATCCTCACCTCAGCGGTCACATTCCTTTATTCTATCTAATAATATCCCTTTAAAGTTCAGAGCAAAGATTGTTTGGAGGAGCTCTTAGCCCAATCCTATCCTTCTAACCTTTATTTGACCAATAGATGTCTGTAATTGAGCTGCACGAAGATAAAAGTTGGAAATGATAGGCCCTTTCCCAAAATCAGCAGGACATTGAAGGCAACCTGTAACGATGCCCATTTTAAACCGGAAACAATGACATGAGATTGATGTTCTAATTCTGCTGCTGTGGTGATTGACCTTTATACAGTGTGGAAACTAAACGTTCTTATCAGAGTGCAATAAATACTCCTGACTTCAGTTCCTCAACCTATGTCATAGATTAGTTTTGAGTATGACACCTTCATTGACTAGAACATGACTTGTAAATGGGAATGGATAACAAGGGATTTGCTCCAGAATACAAACTCTTTACCTCCTAATGTTACCAAATGGGCTACTTGTTTTTACTCCGTTCTGACGCACTTTGACTCGTTCGTTGGTCAATAATTGACCCTTGTGAACAGAACACACCCTTTTAGTTGGGGGTGTCGGCTTGCGTCACTGGACAAAGTTCAAATGAGTTTAAACATAACTATCATCACAATGAATGACACTGAATCCTCAAACACATATTTTATTATCCACTCTGTGAACTTGATTGGTCAATATATACCACAAGACAGATCTTTGCACTAATTGACTGCCGACGGTATCTACATGGGAGTTAATACTTGAGCTGCCCGGAACAGATCCTATTTTCTTTTTAAATTGAGACTTTTCTAGACCATAATCCAGTTTACTTTATTTCAGTGACATCTAGACTCGTATGCCATATTATTGAACCTTTCTCAACCAGTTAACTGAAACTGAAACAGTCCCATGTGGATTCTGCTAAACACGTCACCGAAGTTATGCTGAAACTGGACCTACACCACTGATGGCAAGATGTCTTAATCTAGTTTAAACACTATGAAAATGTTTCTTTGCTTTTGGTGGGTAATGTAACTGCACAGGCCAACCAAGCTTAACAGACCAGTCATCTCTAACCTGCTTTTCCAATTTGTGTCCTCAACCTGCACTTTCTCCTAATTTCTGGTCACGCTGCACCAACCCAACCATATTAGGCATAAACAAAGGCTCTGGGCTGCAAATGTCAAGTCTTGTTATCAGTCAGGGCTGGCAGGCCTTGTAGAGGGATGTAGCTCAGTTGGTAGAGCATGGCGTTTGCAACGCCAGGGTTGTAGGTTTGATTCCCATGGGGGGCCAGTATGAAAAAAGAAGAATGTATGCACTCTGGATAAGAGCGTCTGCTAAATGACTAAAAATGTAGAGCTGTCAATGACAGTATAGGGCTGCTGCCACCTGCTGGTGTGGTAATATGGATACATGGGGATTAACTGTAAACCTATCTGATTTATTTTCTCAGATTTGGCCGTATTGGGCGCCTGGTGACCCGTGCCGCCGCAAAGAGTGGAAAAGTCGAGGTCGTCGCCATCAATGACCCCTTCATCGACCTGGACTACATGGTGAGAACTTTACACTGCATTAAGAAATGCAGTACACTTTTAAAAAATTGGTACTAGACTTATAGCTTCTCAGTTTTACTGTACAATCAATGACTGTACCTGCCCCTGTACCATAGGTCTACATGTTCAAGTATGACTCCACCCACGGTGTTTGGAAGCACAGTGAAGTGAAGCAGGAGGGTGGAAAGTTGATCATTGGCAACCTGCACATCACAGTTTTCCATGAGTGGGTTTTCCTTTCCTTATTCTTTTAGTACAATGGTTCAAATGACACATTTGGATGCATTCCTGCACCCATATTAAGCTTAGTGGTGGACTAAGAAGCACTTTGAATGGACATTTTTCTCTGGTTCTGGCAAACTGACCCATTGACAATTGGGAATGCCAAGGCTGACACTTGGGAGTTCTCGAGTGGGCTAGACCATTTTATGTTATGATGCCTATGGGTTTCACATGAATTGGAACCATTCGATATCTGTAATTGAACACTAGTTTTGTGGCTCTTAATCCCAACTTCGTCTCTCTTTGTCATCTTCAGGAGGGACCCCACTGCCATCAAGTGGGGCGACGCTGGAGCTGACTATGTTGTGGAGTCTACTGGTGTGTTCACCACCATCGAAAAGGCCTCTGTAAGTACCTCTGTTCACTAGCAGTAGGACGGTCACATTTTTATATAGTTAGTGTTTGGGATATTGCTGACCGTTCATTATAATTTTGGTAGGCATGTTATGCAGGGATCCCACTTTCAATGAAGACCTTTTTTTGTTTGTTTTTACCCCTAAACTACTGCTTTTTAACAGATGGGCTTTTTAACTATGTGCATAAAGGTTGGCTGGCTTGGTTCATTCAGTGGCTTTGCTGTTCCATAAATATCCTTTGTCCTCTCACCCCAACCGCCACAACAGGCTCACCTGAAGGGAGGTGCCAAGAGGGTCATCATCTCTGCCCCCAGCGCAGATGCCCCCATGTTTGTGATGGGTGTCAACCATGAGAAGTACGACAACTCCCTGAAGGTCGTCAGGTAAGCCTCTCCTCCACCCTCCCTTCGTTGCATAATCTTAAAGGAGCAGTGGTAATTATCTGTTGCCAAAAGATAACTTGTACAAAGAATGGCTGAAACAAACATGCACTCAGTGTGCATTATTCAGACTCCTTCCTCTGTCCTGAGTTATTACTATTTCAATTTAAATAAAAAATAGTGCTTTTAAGCTGACTCTTATGGATTTGTGGCACAATGTTTATTTACTAAACATTTGTGGTGGTATGATAGTAATTGTCATGTCCTCACAGCAACGCCTCCTGCACAACTAACTGCCTGGCTCCCATCGCCAAGGTTATCAACGACAACTTTGGCATTATTGAGGGTCTCATGGTAAGAATGGATTTTCCTTCAGTGTTTGACTGTCAAAGCACAATTCTTACTGGAAAGTAGTAGTAAAAAAGTGTGAACTTTGAACACTGGTGGAGATGTAAATGTTAACGTTAAAGGTCATTACACACCAAAATCAAATTGTCAAATTAGGTTATCAATCTATCCAAACCCACCTGGTTCATTTATTAGTACACTGCTCAAAAAAATAAAGGGAACACTAAAATAACACATCCTAGATCTGAATGAAATAATCTTATTAAATACTTTTTTCTTTACATAGTTGAATGTGCTGACAACAAAATCACACAAAATTATAAATGGAAATCAAATTTATCAACCTATGGAGGTCTGGATTTGGAGTCACCCTCAAAATTAAAGTGGAAAACCACACTACAGGCTGATCCAACTTTGATGTAATGTCCTTAAAACAAGTCAAAATGAGGCTCAGTAGTGTGTGTGTGTGTGGCCTCCACGTGCCTGTATGACCTCCCTACAACGCCTGGGCATGCTCCTGATGAGGTGGCGGATGGTCACCTGAGGGATCTCCTCCCAGACCTGGACTTAAGCATCCGCCAACTCCTGGACAGTCTGTGGTGCAATGTGGCGTTGGTGGATGGCGCGAGACATGATGTCCCAGATGTGCTCAATTGGATTCAGGTCTGGGGAATGGGCGGGCCAGTCCATAGCATCAATGCTTTCCTCTTGTAGGAACTGCTGACACTCCAGCCACATGAGGTCTTGCATTAGGAGGAACCCAGGGCCAACCGCACTAGCATATGGTCTCACAAGGGGTCTGAGGATCTCCTCTCGGTACCCAATGGCAGTCTGGCGAGCACATGGAGGGCTGTGCGGCCCCCCCCAAAGAAATGCCACCCCACACCATGACTGACCCACCGCCAAACCGGTCATGCTGGAGGATGTTGCAGGCAGCAGAACGTTCTCCACTGCGTCTCCAGACTCTGTCACATGTGCTCAGTGTGAACCTGCTTTCATCTGTGAAGCGCACAGGGCGCCAGTGGCGAATTTGCCAATCTTGGTGTTCTCCGGCAAATGCCAAACGTCCTGCACGGTGTTGGGCTGTAAGCACAACCCCCACCTGTGGACGTCGGGCCCTCATACCACCCTCATGGAGTCTGTTTCTGACCGTTTGAGCAGACACATGCACATTTGTGGCCTGCTGGAGGTCATTTTGCAGGGCTCTGGCAGTGCTCCTTCTGTTCCTCCTTGCACAAAGGCGGAGGTAGCAGTCCTGCTGCTGGGTTGTTGCCCTCCTACGGCCTCCTCCACGTCTCCTGATGTACTGGCCTGTCTCCTGGTAGCGCCTCCATGCTCTGGACACTACGCTGACAGACACAGCAAACCTTCTTGCCACAGCTTGCATTGATGTGCCATCCTGGATGAGCTGCACTAACTGAGCCACTTGTGTGGGTTGTAGACTCCGTCTCATGCTACCACTAGAGTGAAAGCACCGCCAGCATTCAAAAGTGACCAAAACATCAGCCAGGAAGCAAAACCATTCCTTTATTGGGGGTGTCTTGCTAATTGCCTATAATTTCCACCTGTTGTCTATTCCATTTGCACAACAGCATGTGACATTTATTGTCAATCAGTGTTGCTTCCTAAATGGACAGTTTGATTTCACAGAAGTGTGATTGACTTAGAGTTACATTGTGTTGTTTAAGTGTTCCCTTTATTTTTTTGAGCAGTGTATATGAATGAAATGTCAATTGTTCAGATCATGTAAGTAGTCAGTTGAATGTCATGGGCTTTTCTCAACAGAATACTACTTTTGAGGTAAAACTTAGATTTTGAAATGTCATATACAAGTAATTTTGGTGCCCTGCATAGACTAACATCCCTACCACTTTCTCCCCCACTTCCCCCAGAGCACAGTTCATGCTGTCACAGCCACACAGAAGACTGTTGACGGACCATCCGGTAAGCTGTGGAGAGATGGACGTGGTGCCAGCCAGAACATTATCCCTGCCTCCACCGGTGCCGCCAAGGCTGTGGGCAAGGTTATCCCTGAGCTGAACGGGTATGAACCAATCCAAGACCACCTTTTTTTTAAATGGAGGTTTTATGACCATAGTGATAACTGCTGGGATTTATATAGCTCTAGTGCTTTTTTTACTAGGGTAGAGTTTTTTAAGAAATGATTTAATTGCGGGCCACTTGTGCTTGTAATGCTGTGGATCCTGAACCTTTGTGGGTCTTTCTGACCCACAGCAAGCTGACTGGCATGGCCTTCCGCGTCCCCACTCCCAACGTGTCCGTGGTTGACCTGACTGTCCGTCTTGAGAAGGCTGTAAGTCGCCAACCATCTTTTGCTAATGTCTACAATTTTTAAACCGGGATTTTGGGGTAAGTTACCGGCATTACTGCAACAGGCACATGTATGGTCTACCTTAAAAAAAAAAAAAACATTCTCGTCTGCTTTAGGCACCTTATGACGAGATCAAGAAGGTCATCAAGGCTGCCGCTGAAGGACCCATGAAGGGAATTCTGGGATACACAGAGGACCAGGTAAATATTTCCCCACTCTAACCCTTTGTCCCAATCTGTCCTTTTTCTTAGTGTGCACTTGTACACTACTCCCTAAATGAATAAACAATTATTAGATTGGTCTAGATCAGGGTTTACCAAACTATGTCCTGGGGCCCCCCTCAATGCACGTTTTGGTTTTTGCCCTGGCACTACTCAGCTGACTCCAATAACTAACTCATCAAGCTTTGATTATTTTAATCCGCTGTGTAGTGCTAGGGCAAAAAGCACAACGTGCAGTTTGAAGAAACCCTGGTCTAGATCAGTTTCCCAAACTTCTCAAGGGCCTCAGCCAGTCCACGTATTTGACGTATTCCAGAACTAGCACAGCTGATTTGAATGACGAGGGGCTTGATGCTATTAGGTGACAATTTGAATCGGCTGTGCTAGTTCTGGAATGGATCAAATACGTGGCTGTAGTGCACACTTCCAGAGAAGGTAACCTTTCCCTACTCTAATGCCCTGGGCCTCAAGGTCATAGGCTGAAATGTCTAAGCTCCAAAATTAGCGAGCCCTAGATTGAAGGTTAATTCTTTACCCTAAAGCTTTTTGCTTCCCCCCTCGCAGGTGGTGTCCACAGACTTCAACAGCGACTGCCGCTCCTCAATCTTCGACGCCGGTGCCGGAATTGCACTCAACGACCACTTTGTCAAGCTGGTCTCATGGTATGTATGCAGGAACCTACACACCATTGCACTCGCTCACCAGGCGTCCACCGACTCAACGTTTCATTGAGATATACAATCGTTCGCATTGCAGGGAATGTTGCAACTGTTATAACATACAAAGGGGTATGGTATGTAGGTAGGTAGTGGTCCAAGAACGGAGCCTTGAGAAACATCGCAACTTTCCTTTTTAATTCCAAACATAATGGCTTATTAAATAAAACATCCTGTGATTGCGGCATGGCAAACCGCAACACGAGTTGGGGGAGGAACTATTTCAACTTGTGGCAGCTGGAGCGCAAAGGTGTGGACTGCCTCCTTTTGAAAATGAATGACTTCCGTTGGACCGCATTGTTGAATGCAGTTCATGGATGTGGGCGTCACTCACCCAGACACAAAATAAATGTAATTCTGTGCCAGCACAACAATCATTGAATTAGAATAGCCTCAACTTTCCTGTAATTGTAGGTTTTTGTTAAATTCTCTTTTCCATAGGTACGACAACGAGTTCGGCTACAGCAACCGTGTCGTTGACCTGTGTCTGCACATGGCCTCCAAGGAGTAGTGTCCACACCACACCTCCAAACCCCCACGTCCCATGACATCTTCCTTCTCCTGAGCGGACATCCCACCAGTCTGCGGCCAGAGAAAAAGAGCCTGTAGCGAACTCCATAGCAACATATTTATAAAACATCACACCTCTGTTCAGTCTGAGGACTGAGTATGATTTTTGCCTACAGAATATCTGTTTACAGCACTATGGATTAATATGCACTGTCACACAATAAAGGTCCTCTGTTTGTGAAAACATATCTCGTTCTTCGAGCACATTTTCATTAGGGCACGCAACAGCGTTCTGAAACGTTTTGCAACGGAAAATGAATTTAACAGTTTTATTCTATTCGGTGCCTAATAAATACCACCCTGCATGGACGAACATCCCTACCCCACACAGTTCACGTCACCACAGAACAGACGGGCACTCCGGTAAGCTGTAGAGGCGCCAGCTAGAACATCACTGGTGTCACTAAGGCTGTGGTATGAACCAATCCAGGAACACTGGTTCCCTAATAGGTTTTTATCACCAGAGTGACAATGGATATGATTTGTAAAGTGCTTTTCACTAGGGTGGAATCTCAATTCTAAAGCAGTCATATGGAGCTGGTCTAAAGTAGTCGATTAAACCCTTTTTCACAGTAATTGGGTGTAAGTTAAGATGAACTACAGTTTTGAACAGATTCTTTATTTAGATTTTGTTTGTAATAGTGTGGTTCTAAATTGAACTTTGGCCTGCAGCAAGCTGACCGTCATGGCCTTCCGTGTGCCCTTTGTCTGTGGTTGCCCTGACAATCCATATTGTAAGTCTAGTCGGACTTTATTCCGCTACTGTAATTCGCTACATACTTTAGTCAGACTCCCGTTGTGGTGAGGAGGGGCATTGGGTGTTGTGCAAAAGACATCAGCGATTGGATCATCTCTAACCAGAGTATCAAAGCCAATTTCCAAACTGCTGCTTTACCCATGTGTTCTGGATCAATCGGGACAGCCCAGAATGTGTTCACATTCGGTGAAGGGGCAGGGAGGTACTCAGATCCAGACTCATTGTAGCAAACTTAACGTCTGGGCGTGGCATAGCGTTTTGACTTTAGCAAGGAGTCTGGGTAACCAAATAAGTGTCTCTCAGTATTTCCTATGCTTTTGTTAGTGTCAACAAGGGTCAGTGTTGGTTCAATTCAGTAAATCGACTGAAATTTCAATTCCGTTCAATGCTTCTCTATAGCTAGGTTTCCATCAAATTGGCAGCAGATTTTCCTGCGAATATTCTAATATCTGCATAAACAAAATGGGTGCATTTTCTCACCAGTGGGGTTTGCACCAAACTGACTTATTGCAGATGAAAAGCAGTGCCTGATGACGTAGTGCACATAAAATAAAAAAACGGGATTCCTAGAAAACCAGAATTTTTGGGGAAAAAATCACTGACAACTAGATTTGTGTGCAAGCATTCCTTTGCATTACTTTCACCACGTCAGATCAGGGATTACTCAAAGGAAGTAAGGATGCATTTTTAAGAGTATCAATAACAGCCCAATCTTTCCGTACTCATGTCCTGGGCCTCAAAGTCATAAACTGCAATATCTAAACTCAGACACGGGGGTGCAGTAGAGTTATTAATTTTTTCATCTCACTCATCCCTCTGGTGGTGTCCACAGACTTCAACAGCGTCTGCTGCTCAATCCACGATGCCATCGCACTCAACGACCTATGTCAAGGTGCTCTCTTGGTGTGTGTATGCAGGAATTTACTCATCCTTGCACAACCACAAATAAATGGATTGACTAAGCAGTCATTGATATTGCAGTCAATTTGGCATACGTAATATGCTTGTGTTGTATAATAGTTTTTCTGGGACGCATTCATTGTCACCATTTTTTAAAAGGGGGACAAAGCAGACTGTGGGAACTATCGGAGTGTCGCCCTCCTGTCCACCACAGGGAAAACACTGGCAACCGACTCCTTCCCGTCAGAAGGAATCCTCCCAGAATCCTCCCAGGATTTTGTCCAACCAGAGGCACCACAGACATGAGCTTCACAGCACAACAACTGCAAGAAAAATGCTGGGAGCAAAATAAACCATTTACAGTGGGGAAAATAAGTATTTAGTCAGCCACCAATTGTGCAAGTTCTCCCACTTAAAAAGATGAGAGAAGCCTGTAATTTTCATCATAGGTACACGTCAACTATGACAGACAAAATGATACTTTTTTTCTCCAGAAAATCACATTGTAGGATTTTTTATGAATTTATTTGCAAATTATGGTGGAAAATAAGTATTTGGTCAATAACAAAAGTTTCTCAATACTTTGTTATATACCCTTTGTTGGCAATGACACAGGTCAAACGTTTTCTGTAAGTCTTCACAAGGTTTTCACACACTGTTGCTGGTATTTTGGCCCATTCCTCTAGAGCAGTGATGTTTTGGGGCTGTCGCTGGGCAACACAGACTTTCAACTCCCTCCAAAGATTTTCTATGGGGTTGAGATCTGGAGACTGGCTAGGCCACTCCAGGACCTTGAAATGCTTCTTACGAAGCCACTCCTTCGTTGCCCGGGCGGTGTGTTTGGGATCATTGTCATGCTGAAAGACCCAGCCACGTTTCATCTTCAATGCCCTTGCTGATGTAAGGAGGTTTTCACTCAAAATCTCACGATACATGGCCCCATTCATTCTTTCCTTTACACGGATCAGTCGTCCTGGTCCCTTTGCAGAAAAACAGCCCCAAAGCATGATGTTTCCACCCCCATGCTTCACAGTAGGTATGGTGTTCTTTGGATGCAACTCAGCATTCTTTGTCCTCCAAACACGACGAGTTGAGTTTTTACCAAAAAGTTATATTTTGGTTTCATCTGACCATATGACATTCTCCCAATCCTCTTCTGGATCATCCAAATGCACTCTCGCAAACTTCAGACGGGCCTGGACATGTACTGGCTTAAGCAGGGGGACACGTCTGGCACTGCAGGATTTGAGTCCCTGGCGGCGTAGTGTGTTACTGATGGTAGGCTTTGTTACTTTGGTCCCAGCTCTCTGCAGGTCATTCACTAGGTCCCCCCGTGTGGTTCTGGGATTTTTGCTCACCGTTCTTGTGATCATTTTGACCCCACGGGGTGAGATCTTGCGTGGAGCCCCAGATCGAGGGAGATTATCAGTGGTCTTGTATGTCTTCCATTTCCTAATAATTGCTCCCACAGTTGATTTCTTCAAACCAAGCTGCTTACCTATTGCAGATTCAGTCTTCCCAGCCTGGTGCAGGTCTACAATTTTGTTTCTGGTGTCCTTTGACAGCTCTTTGGTCTTGGCCATTGTGGAGTTTGGAGTGTGACTGTTTGAGGTTGTGGACAGGTGTCTTTTATACTGATAACAAGTTCAAACAGGTGCCATTAATACAGGTAACGAGTGGAGGACAGAGGAGCCTCTTAAAGAAGAAGTTACAGGTCTGTGAGAGCCAGAAATCTTGCTTGTTTGTAGGTGACCAAATACTTATTTTCCACCATAATTTGCAAATAAATTCATTAAAAACCCTACAATGTGATTTTCTGGAAAAAAAATTCTCAATTTGTCTGTCATAGTTGACGTGTACCTATGATGAAAATTACAGGCCTCTCTCATCTTTTTAAGTGGGAGAACTTGCACAATTGGTGGCTGACTAAATACTTTTTCCCCCCACTGTATATACCTAAAAACAAACTTTGACTCTGAACCGCCATGCCCTCAGGCTGATTCTGTCAAAAAATTGGCTGCCCTGACAAATTCACCAGAATACTGCTACTGCTGCATGACATGTCAGTTTCAGTGCTCAGTAATAGTGAACAGCTGGGAAGACACTTGAAAAGATAGGTCGACATGGAGTAAAACTGTCCAAGAGGGAGTAGCATGGTAGGAAGAAGATCTTCGCCATGCCGCCGAAAACAAGCGGCAGCTTTGAAAGGTGAGACTTTCCATCAAGAAGGCCCAACCACCATCCAACACCACCACTCACACTGCACATAGGCCAGAAAGTCAAGGGGTGTGAATACTTTCTGAAGGCACTGTATGCTCATCCAAAACCTGTCTGAATGTTTTCATTTCATGTGAAAGTATGAGTAAGCGAACAAGGTGTTTGATGCATGTGCCTAGGAAGACAAAACTTACCAGGGCGAGCTCTGGCCTGACTCCAATAGTCGGCAAGCCCAAGCAGGTTGCAATGTAGTTCAGTATGGTAACAATAATGCAGTCACTTTCACTACCATTAAAAATACTTCAAGAACAATCCAGTACACACATTTTCTTCAGGAAATTTACTTTTTCTATTTAACATTTGCTTTCTTCCACCACTTCTGGTTAAGTTCTTTAAAAAAAAAAACGTATTGATACCATTTATACTTTTCACACTACAACCATACTTGTATAAATTCCAATGCATTTCAATGGCCATATGTTACATGGTCAAAAAATGTGGTTGTAACTAGTTTTCAAATGTTTAAATCACAAACACCAAACCAACTTTAAAACATTCTATTGATAATTGTTTACCTATAACTATTTTACATTTGCGTAAAAGCTCCATAGGCTAGAATAGTCCATTTTCGATTGACCACTGCTCTTGAACCATTTAAGCTACACACACCAAACCAACGTTGAAATGTGCAGTGAACTTAAATTGCTCGTCAAAGCTTTTTGATACCATTTTTACTTTGAACTATAACCATTTTAAATTAGCATAAAAGCTCTATGCTACATTGATACTGTAACGTCTTCTCTAGACGGAACTGAATTGCAGAGAGGTACTTTTCACTCAAGAATTCCCTGAACTCAAAGCTAACCCTGGGTTGGTTTAACTGAAGAAAAAAAAAAAAAATATATATATATATATATAAACGTAGCTATCCCTCAACTCCGAACTGAGCATCCTACTCTAGGTCAATGAACTCTCTCTTCCCACGTTCACCACCCTGCCCCTACTACAGTGAGGGAAAAAAGTATTTGATCCCCTGCTGATGTTGTGCGTTTGCCCACTGACAAAGACATGATCTGTCTATAATTTTAATGGTAGGTTTATTTGAACATTGAGAGACAGAATAACAACAACAAAATCCAGAAAAACGCATGTCAAAAATGTTATGAATTGATTTGCATTTTAATGAGGGAAATAAGTATTTGACCCCTCTGCAAAACATGACTTAGTACTTGGTGGCAAAACCCTTGTTGGCAATCACAGAGGTCAGACGTTTCTTGTAGTTGGCCATCAGGTTTGCACACATCTCAGGAGGAA